GCCTTGAGGCAGGCCAGTTCTCATCGCTTGCTTTCCTGTTTCTGTAGAAAACACATTTTGTACCAACATTTGTAATGTACTCAAAACTTTATTTGATACACACACAATGAACTTTAATGTAATGTAATAAAGAAAAACCCTTTCAATTCTCAATTTAAAAAAAACAATTGAACCAAACTTGAGCCCAGAAGCTGCCAAGTAATTCAATTTGGACAGATAAATGTATTATTTACATGTGAAACACAATCCCTTAAACCTTTGTAATTTTACTGTCATAATTTCTACAGTTTATAGCTATGCACTAAGTGCCTTGTGTGGGTTTATAGCATATTTGTCCACGCTCAGTGTATAAAAATGTTGCCTACGTTGTATGCTCAATCTAGTAACATGGATTACTGAATTTGATGGATGGATGGATGGATGGATGGATGGATGGATGGATGGATGGATGGATGGATGGATGGATGGATGGATGGATGGATGGATGGATTACAAGACTTTTCACATGTTAAACTTAATGAAAGCTCTTTGTGTGTCTGAACATAAACTCTCATAAATTGGTAACAAAATAAAAACAAGCCCCCACCTTTAATCCAGTTGGACCTTGTAACCCTCGGACACCTGGCAGGCCTGCTTCACCCTAATTACAAAGCACACAACATTCAGGCTTTTATATAGTAAACTTCTGTATTTTTAAATTACACATACTCTGATTCTTACTTTGTCTCCTTTGTCACCAGGTAAGCCATCAATGCCTGGAATACCACCAACACCCTGTGGAATGAATAGAAATGTGTTCATCATYGGCATATTGCTTTTTACGTCCCAGAATGACAGATACTGAAAACAGTCCTCAGAATCTTTGGCTTCACACCTTCTCTCCTTTCTGTCCAGGAGCACCTGTCAACCCTATACTGCCTTTATCACCCTGTGAACAGAAAATGAAGGTTTAGATGGATTGCTCTATCAAGCCTAAGCATGCCGGCCAAACTGCTGGTGACAACGCAGTATGCTGTCAGGAAAGGGCAGTCTTGGAGCTCCACAAAGAATTGTTATATAACATCATCAAATTGTTAGACATGTATTAATGAACTTGACTGATAGCAGAACGGAAAGCATTACACACAGATAATTAAATATGTACAGGAGACACAATGAGTCACATTGAGACAAACAGAACACTTCAAAGTAAAGGTTAAAGAGCCAGAATCTGCTGACAGCTTCACCAGGACTCACTATGGTCTGGTTCAATCAAAAACTCAAAGAGCAATGGACTCTCCATTGTTCTCATAAAAATTTGGAACTTAAACCTGATTTCACAATCTTTGCCAAAGGATCCAGAAGAATATCAAACCTGGACTCATGCCAGAGGTAACGACTCCTTCAGCCACACAAGATTACCATTTAATTACATCAAGCCTATTTTAACACACAGCCTTGCTTTTATCACCGAGATTCAAGAAAAAGACTTTCAACAATAACTTTGTTACACAGGGATTTAATTAGCATCAATCAGAGCAGGGTAGATAGACTTCACGTCCTCAGATTGTTAACAAAAATACATGTCATATGTCTGCTTTAGCTTTAAAATGGTTTACAATAGCAATCTGAGATACGCCTCACTAAAATTTGATTTACTGCAAAACAATCATGGGTTGCTACATGGGTTTGCCTTTCTGTGGGCCCACCAAATGCAGGTGGAGCCATATGAGTCGGTTGGGCGGGGACCTTGGCGCTCTGACCCTGGCCTACAAAAACTGAACCTCGGGACATGGAACGTCACCTCTCTGGTGGGGAAGGAGCTTGAGCTTGTGCATGAGGTTGAAAGGTACCAGCTAGATATAGTTGGGCTCACCTCAACGCCTAGCATGGGCTCTGGAACCAATCTCCAGAGGGGCTGGACTTTATTCTATTCTGGAGTTGCTCATGATGAGAGGCGCCGAGCTGGTGTGGGTCTACTTTTGGCCCCCCAACTTAGTGCCTGTGTGTTGGAGTTTACCCCAGTGGATAAGAGGGTAGCTTCCCTGCACCTTCGGGTGGGGGGACAGGCTCTGACAGTCATTTGTGCTCATGCACCAAATGATTGTTCAGACTACCCAGCCTTCTTGGGGTCCTTAGCGGGGGTGCTGGAAGGTGCTCCAGCTGGGGATTCCTTTATTCTGCTGGGGGACTTCAATGCTCACGTAGGTAATGACAGTGTGATCTGGAGAGGAGTGATTGGGAGGAATGGCCTCTCTGATCTGAACCTGAGCGTTGTTCTGTTGTTGGACTTCTGTGTTAGTCACAGTTTGTCCATCATGGACACCATGTTTGAACATAAGGATGTCCATAAGTACACGTGGCACCAGGACATCCTAGGTCACAGATCGATGATTGACTTTGTAGTTGTGTCACCTGATCTGTGGCCGCATAATTTGGACACTCGAAGAGAGGAGCTGAGCTGTCAACTGATCACCACCTGGTAGTGAGTTGGGTCAGATGACGGGGGAAGATCCCGGACAGACCCTGTAGACCCAAGCATGTAGTGAGGGTTTGCTGGGAACGCCTGGCAGAGGAACCCGTCAGACAGATCTTCAACTCACCTCCGAGAGAACTTCAACCACATCCCAGCCGAGGTGTAGGACATTGGAGTGAGCCATGTTCCGCACCAAAGTGGCTGCCTTGAGCTGTGGCTGCAAGGTTGTCAGTGTTTCATGGTGGCCATCCTGGAACTCGGTGGTGGACACCCTGGGTAAGGGGGGCTGTCAAGCTGAAGAAGGAGTCCTATCTGGCCTTGTTGGCTGTAGGGTTGGGCATAATCGTATCATGTGCAATTAATTGTCAGAAAAACATTAATCAATTATTTTTTGGCACTTGACGATTAATACGATTAATGCCACCAGGCGGACTGACCGCTCGGTGATCCTCTCTGCTTCAAATATGAAAAACATTCAAAATAAAGTTCTGTAATTTATTTATCTATCAACACAATTTAAAATATGATGTATACCCTGAAATATATAATTTTCACACAATTTGGGACAATTTTTTACAAACAGCAAATCTTTCCCACTAAATTGGTCATGTGACCAGGACATAAAGGTGTCCAGGGACTCCAGGGGATTAATCGTCAAATTAATCGTTATCGGCTAAATACCACAATTAATCGTGATTAATTTTTTGCCAATATTGCCCAAACCTTGTTGGCTGGTAGGACTCCAGAGGCAGCTGAGGAGTATCAGGCCAAACGGGCTGCAGCCCTGTCCGTTGCTGAGGCAAAAGCTCTGATGTGGGAGGAGTTTGGTGAGGCCTTGGACAAAGACTCGATCGGCTCCGAGGAGATTCTGGCAAACCATCTGGTGGCTGAGGCAGGAGAAGCAGCGCTTCGCTAACACTGTACTCAGTGAAGGTGGGGTGTTGTTGACCTCAACCAGTGATGTCGTCAAAAGGTGGAAGGATTATTTCTCGGACCTTCTCAATCCYACCGACACGTTTACTATGGAGGAAGCAGAGTCTGACTTTTTTGTCTGTCCATAACTGGAGCTGATGTCACTGAGGTAGTTAAAAAGGTCCACGGTGGGCCAATCAGTCTCTACACAAGCAGTGTGAGAGTTTGGTTCGCATTGCCRGTAGTAAGTGATGCTTATTTGTTCAAGCAGAAAGCCCACTCTKACATGCTGGAAGTTGCTCTTTTCCTGCAGTACGGGATGCTATGGTTATGAGTAGGCAATGCATCTGAAATGCTTAAATTACGTCCTACACAAAGAGCACACACTTCCTCCTGTTTCAACCCTGAAGATTATAACTTTATTAAACTCTGTTGGATRAACATTACAGCTTGTTCTGGGCACWTGTGCTTTCGGACACACGTCCAGGACCGTTACCTCTCAAAATCCACAGGAGATCAGGATCATGTAATTATGGCATATTTTCTTGTAATTATGAGATCCTGATCTTATAATTATGAGATAATATCTCGCAATTATGACATATTTTCTCGTAATTATGAGATMTCATAATTACGAGATCCTGATCTTGWAATTATGAGATCAGGAGTTTAATTTTTTTATTTTTATTTGGTAAATGCGATGCTCTTCCATAAGCAGCAGAAAAAGCAAATCAAAACAAAACTAACATGCGGCACGCAGCACGCTTCCGCGCCGGCTTATCAAATTTAGCCACAACACCTGTCCTGTTTACTATCACAACCCACACACCTGAAAAAGAACGTGATCAGTCACTTCTGTACGAGTTGAGTACCAGGAAGCAAATACAGAATTAGACTTGAATGTTAAATGCATGAAATAAAGTCCAACAATACCAACAGCTGGACCAAAATACAGACCATTTATTCAGTCATGGTTTTTGGTGCCGAAGCAGGAAGGCACAGCCAAATATAAACAGATCTTTTCTGGATCTGGCCACTCCCTAGGGGCAAGCTGTCACACTGATTGGGCGGCCTCCCATTCACGTTATCAGATCCTTAAACAACAGACTGGATTCTAATGAGAAAATAGTTTAAGTGTTGTGAGAGATTAAAGTGTGTTAACTAATCATAATGCTAGTTTCAGACGGAACATGTTCTGAGCATCAGAAGTGTCAAGTTTACATGCAAAGTCTATGGTTGACGTGTGTCTAGGGGCGACAAGAAGCCTTGACCTTCATTCAAGTTTTACAATGCAGTCTACAGTCTTTGCAACAACTGGTCAAAACCTCATATTCCATCAGTGTGATCTGGGGTTTTTTCATTTCATCTTTATGGGATTCAATTTCTAGATGACCTTTGTGCATTCTCATGGATGAAGCTGAAGACAGATTGAYCTGTGTTTGGTTATTATCTTAATATGTTACAAAAGCAGTGTTCTTCTCCATCTAAGAAAAATACCTCACTGGGTGGTTTTAACTCCTGAGACATTAATGTTAGACCAACTTGAGACCTGAAGTACCAAGATACAACCACGTGTTTCTGCAAACAGTCATCCCGGAGCTGTCCCAAGGTCTGTCATGTGTCCACAGGAAGCCAACTTTTAAATTCAGCTTCTGACCACAAATAAAAAAAATTCTCCTTGTTATGTTTTTAAGTGCCAAATACATGAAAACAAACGTGAAAATTGTTCAAACCACAGAGATGTTGTGGTTTGCATTATGACACGATAAGCAATGAACAAATGAAGCCATTTGGTGTTAAGTATTTAAATACTGTAGCTCAGAGTAAATTTACTCTGAATATTAGTCAAACTTTAGAGACGCACCGATTCATTTGCTTAATAAATTCTGGATCAAGGTTACAAATCATTTATACAGTAGATTACCACAACAAAACAAGTAGTCCAAGTTATTAGGCATCATTAGATTACAAGAAAAAAGAGACTCCTTTTTAGCCTAAGAAACAGCAGCCATCTGCAGATAGTTCCTGTGATAGTTCCACAAACTTTTTTTGTATATATGTATATATATACTGTGTATATATATA